TTATGTCGATAGCTTCTTCGTTCCCATACGATGAGCTTGGATGGTCTGGTTGTTGTCGTCATTTTTTTTTTCCTCGAACGTTCTCCTTCGACCGTAAAAGCTGTAGTGGAAAGATGCGCACCAGTGGCACCAGAACACGACTTCGAGTCCGATCCATGCAACCTCCGCTCAAACTTCGAAAGATGCTTCGTTCACTGAATTCTCCGCAGAATCTTGATCGGCAAAATATCTTGACCTCCCATTTTCCAAAAATTAGACGATTCCGCAGATAAAGTCCGATGCAATTTCGATCGCTTCCAAGAAGCGATTCAGCCTTCCGACCCAGAAAGCTTTAGCCGGGGAGCGACAACCGCTCCGTCCAAAACCTTCTCACAATCGCGCTGAGCCGCCGGTCTCGACGAATGACAGTCTTACAATGACTGCACGGACTGACTGCTTCTGATTTTAAAGCTTTCCGCGAAAATTTGAATATTCGAAACAGAAAGTTCGACAGCAAATCATTGTTAAATCTTGAAGAATGAGGATATGTTGCGCCCTCGAAATCTTTTCCTTCCAGAATCCTCTCTTTCCAGAATTTCATCTGTTTTTACAGCAAAAATTTATCTTTGATTTTATTGAGAATAAATTTCTGCGAACGATATCGAAAATACCGCACACATCACTTTTGCGTCACTTTTCCTTCGCTTTTCTTCTTCTGAATTTTTTCTTCTGGATCTTTTCTCAGTCTTCGTTTAGGGTTTTTTTCAGCCATCTCACGGTCTCTGGGTCTTTCCACGTAAAATTCACTGCCTATCCTGCAAGCCATATAGATAATACCATACGCATCAGTTCATTACCATTTCCTCTTTGCTTTTCTTCTGGGTTTTTTCTCGATTTATTATCTGAGCGCCGGCAATCTCAAATTTTTTGATTTCTTTTTCGCCCGTGCAAAAAGTTCACTGTATGTTCTCCAGACGATATCAACAGCACTGCACATCACTTTTGCATCACTTTTTCTTCGCTTTTCTCTGCGAGGTTTTTTTCTGTGTCCTTCTCTGGGTTTTTTCCTATCGTGGCATGTTTTACTGAATTTTTCATTTTCTGCATAAACTCTTTCATCGTGGTGTAAAAACTGGCCTATCGGGCTATCCACAATGCCCACTAAAAAAAGTCTCCGTGATTACATCCATGCAATGAGATATCCAGCATGGCTCAGTCCAAACTTTCCGCCGAAAATTTCTTTTCCCTCAAATGCAGTTCTTGACACGGCCCCTATCAGTACGGGATTTTCTGTGCCACAGAGATGTAGCTAAACATCAAGCGTGTTCAGATTCAATTCATTGCCACTAAGCGGATATCCAAAAACATTAAGGCCCTCTTCTGTGATTTTCACCGCCGGAGCATTCTTTGGCGTCCTCCCTATCATACGTTTCCGCCACATCGTGTCGCGCATCTTAGCTAAACGTATCTCAGATGGAACGCTTTCAGTGAGCCGGTGTATAAAGTCGGTTCTCGGAGTTCAGGAGGTATTTTCGACTGGGAATTGGCCGGCTGAACCGAACGTAGAGCATTTTGGAAGGATTCTTATTGTCAGTTCTGAAATGAACACGAAACGGAATAGCAGCCATCATTTCTTCATTTTCTGATGCGGATTGATCGGCAACGTATGCAATGACGCGCAACGGAACGTGCGTGAAGCACTGGGCTCGGAAGAACACGAAACACGGCCATCTCAGTCAGACGCAGAGTACTTCGGAAGCATTCAACACTGCCAGCATCAACAGCACGAACATTTCCACAGACTCCCCTTCATCTTCTAATGTAATTTGAAACAGCTGGCACCATCCTCATCGACATGCGGCATCCGCACAGGTGCACTTTCATTTCCTGAAGCGAAACAGCAGGCATCATGTGCGCCTGAGCCCGCGACGAAAAGTGTGTGAATGAATGTCCATCAATGCCGCCCCTGCGCCTAGTGCCATCGGGCAAAAATTATTGCAACCGACCGACTGAAGCAATTATTAGCGACTATCGGGGTACGCATAATCCAAGAAGCTTGCCCCGAAATTGAAGACGCAACACGCTGCGACCAACAACTGCTTGACAGTGACTGCACTACTAATTTCTTTCACTTTTAAAACTTGCGCCACATGCAAATTTCAGCGGAGCACGTAGCTAATTATATTATTACATATGCAAATGCAGGCATTCGGAAATTCCTAAAAATTTTTGTGCTATTTCAGTGAATTAATACAAGAAATTTCTAAGCGGAACTTTTTTCGCATCTATAAAAATCCTCCTTAACTGCAGGGTACCTTGAGATGGTGGGGAATTAGCACTACTTGAGGACAGTCTGACCACAGTGTTGAATCTTCGAGAGACTGAATCTTTGCCAAAAAGCTATTTTTGAACGGGGCATTGAGCCGGTAATCTCTTCAGAAGACAAAAGGAACAAAAGAATCGCCAGAAGGCTGACTGCCGGAATAGGCAGAAACGATCAAATGTTGGAGAAGTTGCAGCAGCGTAGTTTGGACAGCCAGTTGAAATAACAAATTATATGACAAAAAACAAAATACATTGATTATTCTTCATTACTACATTGAAAATAAAAAAGAAATGTAGCAGGAATGTAGAAATCTTCCAGATATTTCATTTCAGGAAAGTTATGGATGCCTCTCTATAAAAAAGCCCGTTACCTGCGGCGCACAGTTATCGTTACGGAAGTCCTGCGAAAACCTGGCCAAAAATAGTAAATTGCTACAGATGACATCAGCATCAAAAGTGCGGAGCAAAATGTATGCATGTGTTTGGCGTACATACAAATCAGACATCTGCTTCAACTGCTGCATGGAACACAAAGGCCAGTGGTATGATGAATAGCAAATCGTGATCGGATGTAAAGGGGAATGTTTCGATTCTCTTCAATATAATAACCATTTTCAAAAAGAGGTTCTGTCTGCGATGGTTTTTAACAGCAACGAAACTAGAAAGATTTTTAGACGAATTGGGAATTACTGGAAAAATTACTTATGATGAATTTATCAATTCACAGGTTG